ATACTTAATATGAAAAAACTAAAATAAATAGTCATTTAACCTAACCTTAGTGTACTACGAATTAACAGTAAAAAGAAATCCAAATTATCTAAACATTTCTTGTAGTAAGATAATTATTCAAACCGTAGGGTAGTCAATTTACCCCGCTCTCTCTTATATGATTAAAAAATTAAAATATATAAACATGGTTTCTTACAGTCTTACAGATACTTTGAGTTTAAATTTGGATGAAATCAAACATTKAAATGGGAAATAATGATTTTAGTTATTTTATTGTAATATGTAAACATCAAACATATTACATAATTTATTTGCTGAAAAGAAGAAACTTTAATCCGGGCGGTTMAATTCTAAGGCTCCCCAAGGAAAGTGTGTTTGACTGTATGATCTTAATGGTCGATACAAAACAGAAGAAGAACTTGCTGATCAGTATATGAAGAGTTTTGTTAGTGTACAATACTGAGATTTTATCGTGCGTACTGCGTAGGTATGCACAAATTTCGTATTCATGAAAACATGAAATTATAACTATATAGTTGTTATAATAAACTTAAAAATTCCAAAAATCAAATTTTTAATGTATACATAATTTAAACATAAAAATGGTGTGAGCATGTTTAAAAATCACCCTATAATCTATAATTATAATGTATTACAATGCAGTTATGTATCGAATGACGTTTATATACATATAAGATACGCGCAATAGGGGATTGTCCTACCATTCTATTTTACGAGACACAGCAGCATTTAAAAATTATTTTAATAATAAACACGTATTTTAACATTAACACAATTATTATGTTCAAGTACATTTTTCGTATTAATATTACGACTCAACAAATACCATTCACTAGACGGACAACACCCATCACATTGTATAAATATATGTATATACCCATAAAACTAAAAATCTCAATTATAATTGTCAGCGCTCAGAAATTACTTCTTATAGCACCATATTATTTATTATATATGTATAGCCATAAAGTGTGATTTAGCAAGCATGCTTATACCTTAACCGGCTCAATACTTTTTCTTTAATAATGCAGTTACATAAAATTTGATTTTTGGAATTTTTAAATATACTTAAAGACGATATTTTTATTATTTTTATATTATTGGATACAAACTTTTATTTTTGAAATTAGAACCCCCCCCCTTTCTACTGTAAATTATTTAGCAAATATATTATGTAATTAGAAATGATATCTATTTTATAGTTTTTTTAAATCCATTTTTATTTTGATTATACCTATTACTATTTACATTTTTTACTAATTTTTTTAGTGTAAACATTTAAGTAATTGAAAAACTACTCATTTAAATTTCGAATCATATAAATCGATATTTAAAAAGATTATCCGCTAAATAATTAGTTACTACTAAAATCATAAGGTTTTAAAATTGTTCCGTTATAATTTTAATTAAAAGTTAATGCATTTTTTACATAAATTCAATAAACTCATCGCTSTACTATTTATTATATATATTATTATAATATTAATTATGTGTAAGAATAATAAAACAATTCAAATTACACTACCCTCATCATCATCATCAAAACGATTATAGGTATATTAGCAGGCAGGTTCGTTGCWTATGAACTATTTGAACTCGCTCCTTTTATAATTTACCTAAATCGCTACATCAAAAAAAGAACAGATGATTCATTTACCGAATCACTTTTAAATTA